CTACTAGCATATGCAGCTCCACTCAGCCAATTTAAGCTAGCTGCTTTGTTAGATGAATAAGTGGATAGATGATTTGGTTTTACCCCACTCTAGCACTGTCAATTCATTCACTCATATTCAAACAGTAGGTCTGCAGTTATCGCCAACACTCACGTGCACATCAGCGCCTTCAGTTAGGCGGGCCAGGTAGCGAGCGCGTATGGTGGCTACCCCATAGCATAGGTGGCTGTCACTGTAGAGGGAGTAGTTGTGCCCAAACGCCATCCTCTCCATTCCACCCTCATGAACTGCCTCTTCTCTCTGCACCACCAGTGTCATCTCGGTGCCTCTCATCACCCAAATTCACAACACCCACCATTGACTGTGAGCTGTGTGACCACTCCGAATCCGCCTACAACAGACACGGCTGATCATGAGCAATCCATACCCAGCCAATCACTGTAATGCGTTGCTAGAACAATATGAATGAAGGCGAATGCGGTGCATTGTTTCGCCAATAGTGATGTTAGTTGCAATGCATCTCCTTACCTTCACGTGGAACTGAATTTCTCCATCTCAGCATAGGTTACATTGACGTTGATGTCTCATGTCTATCTTAACAAACTTGGCTAAGCAACGCTGGAAGCAGTGGCTGCACTTATTTGTTGGTGACGTGCCAATCGTCTACGCAGATATCCCTTATCTCATAGATGAAGGAAATCGAAGTGGAGGCAAATTGCTACGTTTGAGTAAGGGCGTGCCAGGACACACGAATGAGAAAATGGAATTGGTGTACATTGATCAGTGCAAATGTTGCTGGAAATAGCACACACCAGTCAGTAGCACGGCAATCGCCACAAGTGGACTCTTTCGCCCTTGGCACTTCAATTCTGAACCGGCGATAAAGCCTTTTCCCTTACACACAAATATGATAAAGCAAATAGCGATGAACGGATTTGGTGTCGGTGCGTTGTCAATAGGCACACCAGTGATTCGGGGACCACTTGTACCACTTTTGTCCCATTGATCAAGTCATTGTGCACTCCTACGAAACTGCGGATGTAGACCTCAAGCATTTCTATACCTGCCCAAATTGATTTCAAGCACAGTTTTGACGAATGACTCTGCCAATTAAGAGCTGCTTTGAAAGATAGGAGACGCTGTAACTGCCCTACTTCGTTAATTCTCTTCAAACATATTTGATGACCACGAGTAGATTGATATGTGGATGTACGAATTGATGGATGAATGGTCGAATAAAATATCGTTTGGATGGATGGATGGATAAGGGTGAATGGATAGATGGATAAGGGTGGATGAATACGGGCTGCATGCATACGATATGAATGTTTGGCTGGCCAATGGTGTGACCTAATGAACAAGGAAAGGCTTCACTTTGCAAATCCACGTTTATTCCATGTTGAAATTTCACTCACCTTGCCAAAATTACCCATTCCATAATTGACTGCTAGCCACTCGTAGAAGCTCTCGTCTACGTCACTCACCACACGCACATCATCTCTCGTGCTCTCTACCATCCCGACCAACTCAGACCCTGCTACCGTCTTCCTCACCGCCGCCATCAACGCCTGCACCTCTTCCGCATTCCTCTTTCTACAAGTCAGTCAATGCCTCTTAGTCTTCAGCTCCTCCAATCCCCTATCATCTTCATCCTATTTTCAATGCCTTAGCACGAATACCATTGCCTGCCTATTATCATCCCCTTCCAGAAGCCTAATTGAACACATTCTCTCCTCTCACAACTGTGCGGATTATAGCTGTCCCAAATAGATCAGGTCAAATTAACTGCTTACTCTAGCAATCGAACACCCGCTACAGCCCCCAGAAAGATGCGTGTGTTTTTCCTCGAGTCCACTGGAACCCCTTTGCTCATGACTGCTTTCGCCTCCTTTACAATCGCCTCCTCACCTGCTGTAGCATTGTCACCGAAAGAGGTGATTCCGGCATCTGTAAGCGAAATTCAGGAGGATGTAATTAGACTGTGGTCTACAATTTAGATCCAACGAGTCATAGTGAAACCCACTAATTTGTGAGTAGCTGCGCAGACGAATCGAAGCATTCGAGCGGCCATTCCAATCACCGTATTGGAAAAGGAAGAACTTTGATGTGTTCAGTCCACATTCAATTATGAGCACATGCTAAATACAATGGAAGCGAAATGAGATGAGCGACACTTAGAATCCCTTGAAACATGGCAGTGGTTGGTGAAACACGGCACAAGTGTTTTTACAAATATCGAGACTAAGGTACCTTCTCATTTGTGCGATGGAATGCATTTTACTACAGTCAGTCTCAAATGACAGTGGCCTTCAGCGAAATCTGCAAGTCCTTTGACATGCACTAAATGGTTATTCACTATCCGGGCTACTGTTTCTTGCACAGCATAAGAAAGGAGACTTGACTTCAGTTTTTTTGGATAAGACAAGAGGGTTTCTTGATGGGTGACTATGAAAAGTGAAGCTTAATGTTGTCCTCCTATAATAATTTTGATAAGAAATGAATGAATTTTCCTAGCGATCAGTGGCCTCTTCTAAGTAAAAATTGCAAAGTCATGTTACTCAATATAGTAGTTTTCATTTGTGGACTAAGGTTGCTCTACATGTAAGACTTTCACTTTTCGTATTTAGTTTCATAAATTCATGACACCATTCCATGTCCACATTTTACCCTGATACGATAAAATAAATGACTGGACACTTCCGATTCCAATGAATCTTTGTTGTTCAAAAGGGGTTTTGAGCTATTGCACCTTCTGTAATATATCGAGATTGTGCATGTCGTTGTGCTTAAGATCAATGTCTTCCCATTTTCAAAAAGAATAGGTAAGCTAAAATAGTCTTGAAAAATTAGGCAGGAGAGATGGGTCTACCCAATTTCGACATTTTGAGTTGTTTTGAGAACCGTAACTTACTTCGGTGGGTCGGTTAACTTTAATCATGACGATTGCAAGGAATATGATGGAAAGGACGAAGCACACCAGCATGATGGCGGTCAGAATGTACATAGCACATCGTGAAGATCTGCCAGTTGTTTGAGTGTTTGGCTCAATTTCTTCTATTTCGCCAGCAAATATAATGGGTACATCTCAAGATATATAAAAATTACAGCACAAAACACTTGCAAATTCAAAATTTCTCTTAGACACAAAAATATGAATGTAGATGTAACATCATAAACGAGCAATTACACTGTCAGTTCTAAACTAACATTAAAAATACATCTAAATAACCCCAGACCCATGGTGGACACACCTTGCCAACATTTTGCATAGTTTGGATCTGACTTTGTTCAGCTAAGTAATACGAAAATGCGATCTAATACTACATTGTTTTAATGCCCTCTAATCCAAAATTATGGTGCATATTAAATTCCCAACATATTACGTCAGTGGCTAGATTATTATTTTCAAATTATCGTTTTGAGCTAAGCTCTGTAACCATGCCTGATTATTTTATTTAAAAGCATAGAACAAAAGCTAACATATTTTCTTTCATTGCTCCCTCTGCTAACCCGATTCGAGTACCCGCTTTCGTGTGAGTAAACCTTGAGCCAACAATGCACTAGCATAAACAAAGAGAGATGCAAGGAATCATTACAGATTAAACCAGTTTAATAAAAGTGTATCAAGTTATATGATTCGTTGAATAGGGCAGCAACTGCAGTCTTTGGTTTAAATATTGCCAAAACATAATGACGGAATTCTTTCTTCTCTATTTTAAAAAGCTTCCCCTACTTTTGCAGCAGATACTTTAAAATTTTTTTATGATCTGAAAAATTCTTGAGGTTCTATAATTCGTCTGTAAGGAGCTTCGTTCTCACCACTTTACCACTATTTAATGAAGTCAACCTACTGCCTATGAGTGCACATTTTCAGACTGATTCGGCTTAAGTGACCAGGTTTACAGTTTTTAAAGGTGTCTTAAAATACCCTTTTTTAAACCTAACCCATAAATTTGGCACAATGTCCTTGTGCCCTTTGTAAAATATACATGGCGTAATGTAACTGGGGTTCAAGAGGCTACCAGTCTAGTTTGAAGCTATGGATACTAAATTACTCTCAAAGCTCAACCTCACGATGAAGCCTTGTAACTAGTTCCATGTGACCTTATGACTGGTTTTCATTTTTCCATCCAATTGAATCTAATGTTGTATATACCTTGCTTAGGTATTCTGTAGCGTCCCGACACTTTCATGAATTGGAACCTAGATATATTGCTTTTGTAGAATATACATATTTGACACAGAGGAGGTATTGGGGCTGCTGACATGGCCCGAAGGCTAGCCCACCTAACGTGGTACAATGGCCAAATGAAAGGTGGCTCCTCACTAAAAATCGAGAAATAAACAGCATTGTATTACAATACTCCTTCGAGAGAAGGCGGGCAGTCGACTCGGACCTCGTGATGGAGGAGTGGTCAGAATCCTCCGAAGTGGAGGATAAAATGGAGAAATAATAAAGAAATGCATTGCCTTACAGAGACAGCCTCAAAGATTATGCTCAGATAGGACACAGCGCAATTTTATACTGATGGGATAAAGGTTTATAGTTATTCTATTCGTTTCAAATCCATACTAATCTAAATTAAGCCATCAGAATAAAATTTGATAAGCTTACAAGTCTGCTATTGCTTCTAGATTCTAAAGAAATTTCCTAACCTTATCCTTCTCACTTTGGTTCCTCAAACCACTAAATCTCTATTTCCCAAATCCAATTGCGAATCCAAGAGTTTCTGTTCATAAGTCTAAATTTGAAGCACGTTTTCCTCTGACATCTATTTGCATGGTAAGAAATGAAAGCAATCTCTCGCAGAAGCACTCTACTGCTTCCAGTTGGAGTAAATGCTGTAGCTTGTTTAGGACTGCGCTACGAGAGCATCATTTGTTTATTTTGGTTTCATAAAATGGTAGATATGTACACGTAGTCACGAAGTCGGGACAATGGGTGGACAGGGAGATAGGTGGGGTGCGGTGTCTGCCCTACGCGCACTTCCAAATGAGGACACCGGTGTTGCCTCCTACGTAGAGCAGCATGACCGAGTTGAGGTCATAGGTGATCTCAAATCCGAAGCCTTGACCAATCACCACCTGCCAACCCACACCTGCCTTCTGCTCGAATTGACGCTTCACCATCTTCGCTGCTGCCTGCATCCAGTGAATAATTGCAAAGCATACGGTTTCTCAAATGCTAAGATGTGATGCCTGTTATTTGGTGTGACAATTCCTCCACCCAGAATTATTTTGAAGCATAACACAGACGTTAGTGAGACCGGCTCTACTTATAGGTCGCTTGAGTAGGCCCGGAATGGCACGTACGACAGGGTTATCTCCCTTTCAAGTTGTTCAACAATCGCACGTGATTTGAACCAATGCATGTAGGATAGATTTTTTAGGAACCACGGGTAGCATGGAAAGTGGTCTTGTAGCAGCCCCACTTTTATTTCAACACTTGCTGTTTGGCATGAAATCCAGTGGTGCTGAGTAGTTGTACTTTGCTCAATGGCTGTTTAAATGCATGCATAAAACGTTGAGGTTGAGAAGGGATGAAGACGAAATGGTTGCAGATCTGCTCGGGGAATGGACAAGCTGCTTTTTTATAGCTATGCAATTTTTTCGTGTAATGCACAATAGAAGTGCGACTCCAGGTACATGAATGAGGAAGATTTTGTTTTAAAGGCATGAATAACATTTAACAGGCTGTAAGAATGCTGAAAATAAGTGTCGAATCCACCCACCATGGCATTTCTACTTAATGGATTTTGGTTTCATATTTCATCTTCAAATTATCTACTACCCTTCTTTAGACAGTCTTAAAGACCACCTTTCAAATTGTCGCGCGTTTCAAAGTTCGGGTACCGCCATTCACTCCGAAATTTTATAAGGAATTGTAACACCTTATTACCATGCAGTCCAAGTACTGGAAACTTGCAGGCAATAAGACTGGATTGTTTCCAATCATTCATAATGGCCGCTAGAATGCTTTCTCCTATTTGCTAATGCTGCTGAAAGAGTAGTACAGCAAGCCTACGCTTATGATTGAACACGACATGTGACGTGCCCTAATCATGGTGTGATAAATTGTAACAATTAGGAGCAATTAATATTTACGGAATCTTAAATCTCGTAATCGTAAAATATATGCTATCCGTTAGGTCCGAGTCTCCAAAAGCTGAATGATTTTAACATCTTTATAAGACTAATTTTTTCAGAAATTGTGAAAAATATTGCATGTTTCTTCTCAACTGGACACGGTAGTTTTGTCTCGAGTTCAAAGGCGAAGATGTAGAAGTTACTTTAAATGAATATGTTGATTGCTTTACCGAGGGTAGAATGAAATGGCAATTGAAAATAAGAGAACTTACGCAATTGTCATTCGGATACTTTTCGCAGGCCGTAACGCACATCTCACTCACTTCCGTTATCATTTCTTCATTCATGTCGGAGTACTTCAACGTAAAATGGAATGCTGTTACGCAATTATTTTTCAATTTCGAAACTTCCCCAGGCTAACGACATCCATGACAGAAACATTCTACTTACAAATTTAAGTAGACATCACTGACTCGATTGATTGTGGCATAAATTGCTTTACGCTTTTTTCGCCTCAAATTAAGAAAAGCAAGGAAAAATTTTGGTTAAATTCGCAACATTACAATTAACGGAGTAATTCTTACACCTTACTTATAAGGAATGTCAACTCGCAGATTATTAACTTTTCCACCTTTCTTAACTCAACAGGTATAAGTAATTTGGACTGCGAGCGGCCATGTCAGGCTGCTGTCCATAGTATTACAACCACCTGGAAAACGCCGTGGTCTTTATGTACTGACCCACAGCGGATTTTGGTAAGTCTTTTTTTTTGTGATTAAGCCTCTGTAAAATTTTATTTATAGACTTTCAAAACGTTTTCTCTTCTTTCCGCATTTTTTTGAATGATTTGATTTATTTTCGGCTTGCATGGATCTGGAAAATGCATTCCTTTGGCACTATTTCCATTCTTTTAATTAAAAATTCTTCTTCATAACAGATGATGCTTGCCGTGAGTCATGACTAGTAAGAATGTACTCAAATTTCGAGATAACAGTCGACATGCTCAATTTGTGGCTACATATTTATATGAGGACATTTGTAAAATTCTAATGAATTTTAACATAACGACAGGTAAAGACAAGGGCACAATATGTCAGAACATATTTGATGGGATTAATTATGCCACACATTTGTGCAAAAATTGGAAAGCACTACTCTACAACACTAAAGTGGATTACTCACGTTGACAAGGGGGTAATTCGTGGTTCCCTTGTTGGCATTCCCGGTCTCCCCCTCATCCTCGGGTTCAGTCATTTTGCACCTGTCCTGTAGTCACAACCCCTCCTTTGAACTGGTCACCGATCGATAAGATCGCTTCATTCAATACGGAGAGAGCCCCCTGATTGGTCAACTACTCAACCAATGGAGGAGCCGTGGTCGAACCGTTGCGACAACAGACGCGCGTACCCGCGTGCTTGTTGCCATGGCACCGCGTGTGTGTGTGCACGAATTGGGAAATGACTACGCATAAACCACACACCGCGGTGTTTGTGTGTGCTTTTTTATACCACTCACATGACTTATTAGGTGGATTTAGCGTGTTATGAATAGAACGCAGAAGTGATGTTTATTATGGCGAATTTGTCAGCCATTTCCACCGGTACTTAATTCAACCAAGTGATAATGCTGTTTTTTTTTCGGTTAAAAATGACGCGAATTACTTAAATTAGAAATAGTAACTGTAATGGTTTAATTGGTTGTTTGACCCTTCCTTTTGGCTCCGCGGGCACTGAAGGCTCCGCGATTCTACTTCCACCCGGCGGCATGTCCTCTAGGCTACGCAGGCATTCCTCCCCCCCAGCCCTTTTGTAAAACAGAAAGGCTCGGGGCAAGAAAATTAGGGAAATGTTTAGTTGTAGGATAACAAGACAAGGTGTCATTTCATTATTTACTTCCAAGGGTGTCTCATACTCTATGGACTAACGATATATTTGTGCGTGTGTGTACTTCCGAAGAGCTTGTTTATGTACATTGTAAAATAAACCCATAGACCGTACTTAGTATTAGATGGCATTCCTTTCACGCTCGGCTTTATTTTCAGCAGAAAATGACCATCTTTGGAGACACACTGCCTCATTTTTAGCTGTACGTGATTGTGGATGCACGGTCATCATATTTTCGGAGACGACTTGCAGTTGAGAGAACATGAAAAGATAAAGAGGTACAATTGACCAACATTAACAGTTCTGAACGTTAAAATTTGAGATATTTTTATTTGCCAATTGAGTGATGAATACGGTTACTCCTTTCGAAATATACACTCGACAGTTACGCGTCCTTCTACTACTGGACAAGTGCTCACCCACCAGCGAAAACCCGCCCAACATGGCAAACCGATCGATATTTTTCGAGTGTCGATTGATGAGTCATTCGCGCCTATGCTGACGTAAGCTCAAGTGATGCAGTACGTAACACTTGCGAATCTGTTAAAAATAAACAAGCGAATACATTAGAGCTACCTAGCGGATCACGATCTTTCGCAAAAAATGGAATCGAATTCTCTAAACTCTCGATCCACTCTGATATCAATCCCTAGTGCGTATTGATGTCTTAGGCTTCCTACTCCAGTAACAATGCCTATTTAGCTTATGACTGCAATTTAAATAACAGATTGACCAATGAAAATAAGTACCAGGAGCCTCCAAAGCCAAAACTCAACCGCTACTCCAAATCCATAACCCAAACTAGCAAGACGAAATCTCCCATAACCCTGGTGGCAACACCTCGAAAAGCAGGTACCTTCGCAAACACGTGTATATGTATATATGTATATTTGTTTATATGCGTTTTCATATACCTTCGGCAGCATTACCCTGTATATTGATTGGAGTGGCAAGGGGGAAGGGGAAGGGGAAGGGGAAGAAATAGAGGAGGATAGGGGGCCCAGTCAGTCTATCCATCGCACAGTGGATCGGTTTGCACGTGTGACGTTGTCACAAGCAAGAAGAGAACGAAGGATAGGGGAAAGAAGTGAAAGAAGGAAGTAAAAATATTGGCGCTATTTACAATTCATTTATTTCGTCGTTCAGTGTTGCCAATGCTGCTGCTGCTGCTGCTGATGATGATGATGATGCACCACATTGCAACACAAGGATTTGTTAAGAGATAAAGCGAGAGATAAAGAGCAAAACATGTCGTGTTACCTTTGTTTCTTGATCACAAAATCTGCTTGTGTGGGGTGAAGAGATGGGATTAATGATGGCCAACTGGATATCTATAACATGGTAGCAGTAGTAGTAGTAGTATTGGTAGCAGCGGTGTGGCGTGATGGGAGTGTTTATATTCACCATGATAATAAAACAAATTACAGATTCAGCAGCTGTAAAAGAGGATATCCACACATACGCACATGCTTACGCGTCCCCGAACGTGGATCTACCAAATCACACCCTGTCTGTTCGGTTGGTTTTCATGTCTGCGTAGCAGTTACGTGTGGAGATGTAGGAGGAAGGTGAAAATTGAGTTAAGAGAGGCGATAGAAAGTAGGGGACCACCCTGTCTGAGAACGTTTCAACAAAATTTTTAGATGAGTGAGCATCGAGAGCAGGAGAGAAAAGAGATTGTGATGATGGTGATGATGACAGCAATAAAAATGATAATGATGAAATGCGGGAAGGGGTGCGGGAGTCTTGGCACTTCTACGAGGCTGTTGTGCCAGTCTCCACAGCGGTACTGGAGGAGATGGGATCTTCACACCGACTCAATGCGGCTGCTGAGAAGATGATTGGCCTCTTTTCAGCAGTGGGAATGGGAGTAGATGGTGTCGTGGGGGTGGTGGTGGTGGCAATATTGACGGCCGATCGTTCCTCTACCACCTTTGCTGCTGCAGCCACCGCCACAGCAGTGACCACCGGGAACATACCATTCAGTGGACTGGGTTCCTGTTTTATGTGCGGGAAATTATCCCCCTCCTCGTCCTCTTCATCCTCCTCCCCAGTTCCCGTGCCATTATTATGGTGACAACTGCCTGCGGGAGACGCCTCTGTAGCAAAGACACACAGCGTCTCGTTTTTCATGTCATCTTCCTCCTCCACCTCCGTGTTACTGCCAGCAGTGGTAGTTTGAGATAGCTGAACCGATCCAAATGAGGCGGAGGGTCGATGGTGTTCTAAAAAGCTGAGCGTTGAATGTGCCAGTGTTGGACGTTGGAATTCCGTGTAGGGGGAGAAGTGGCTGTAACCAAAGCCACTGGAAGTGCTGACCGCTGTAGGATACTCCTCAGAGTTGCTACTCACGAAATCAGAGGAGCCAGCAGGAGGGTGAGTCAGTGAAGCTGCTGGCACAGTGTGGCTGAACCCGCTACCTCCTGTGCTAGAGGCGGAGGGAGAGAGGAAGGAAGGATTTGGGCTCTTTGGAGTAGGAGA